GCACTCAGTGTCCAGTTTAATTCTCCATGTTGAACTGCTGAAATCCTCAGTGCAGGCAGAGAGCAGTGATGTGTGTGATTCAGCAGAGCGGAGCTGACCTGATCTCCCATGAGCTCTGCAGAGTCCAGCGTTATCAATCACACTCACTCCATTCTGCTCTTATGATGGCTGTTCGCCAGAGACGCCTGCGCTTGGCATTAAAGCAGTGTGCTGTACAGGAAGTTAACTTTTCTATAAGTGGACTTGTGATTTTGGCATCCTCCCGCACAACACCACATGTCTGCCGCTGCAGCCGCTCTCTTCTCGCAACCAGCATGCGCAGTTGAACCCGTGTGACGTCATGTGTGACGTAGGTTGGTCATTCCCAAACAAAACAAACAAATTTATTAGAAATAATCCTCAGCCTTGCTAACCCGCAATAACTCGGAAGTGGAACAGAATTTACCCACAGCGGTTTGTCTGGACTCTCCTTAATGGCATATTAATATCTAGTTCTTCAAGTACCACTGAAAACAGGTTTCTGACTGCTAAATGTACAACAATGGATATGAAACTAGGCAGGTATAATCAAAAGATTGATAACATAAGCGTCATTTTCCAACAAAAACATGGAGCTGTCTCTTTAACAGGAACACACAGCGGAAGTCGTCATCCCGTCGCCGGATGTGTGTGAGTTTACTGCTGCGACAACATGGGCCGAGAGTCACGGTAAGCCTTTCACAGCTTTTCCTCGAAGTTTCACAAGTAAAGAGGTTTAATAATACCATAAGCGAGAGTAATGAGGTTGGTTATGAAGGTGTTGATGAAGGAAGTGCGCTGCGAATAAAAGCCGCTCATAAACACTGAGCTGTGTGTGTGTTTGTGTCAGACTGAGCTGCTCACCTGCTTATTTACTGACTGATCGCTGATCAGGTGTGAGGGACAGCTAGCTTAAATTCACACACTCAGACTGAAGAAAACACTAAAGCACAAGTATGAAGGCGAATACACAACAGTTATAATGGTGAACTGTTATAAACACTGCTCTCTGTACTGTTCACCGCTGCTTTATATACACGCACCGGCCACTTTATTAGGTACACCTCACTAGTACCAGGTTGGACCCCCTTTTGCCTTGAGAACTGCCTTAATCCTGGGTATCATAGATTCATCAAGCTACTGGAAATATTCCTCAGAGATTTTGCTCCATATTGTCATGATAGCATCACACAGTCGCTGCAGATTTGTCGGCTGCACATCCATGATGCCAATCTCCCGTTCCACCACATCCCAAAGCTGCTCGATTAGATTGAGCTCTGGTGACTGTGGAGGCCATTTGAGTACAGTGAACTCATCGTCATGTTCAGCAGTCTGAGATGATTGAGCTTTATGACGTGCTGCGTTATCCTGCTGGAAGTAGCCATCAGAAGATGGAGACACTGTGCTCATAAAGGGATGGACATGGTCAGCAGCAATACTCAGGTAGGCTGTGGCGTTGATGCTCAATTGGTACTAATGGACCCAAAGAAAATCTCCCCCACACCATTACACCACCACCACCAGCCTGAACCGCTGATACAAGGCAGGATGATCCATGCTTTCAACCTGGCGATCCTCGGCCCGTCTCCGCTCCTAAAGGACTTGAGCTTTCCTGATGCTGCTGTAGCAGATCATCATCACCTGTAGACATCACATCATTATTCAGCAGATCACCTGATCCCTGCCCTGAACTGCAGCTCTGGATGACAGGAGAGGATGGAGATCTGAGATCCTGTGTTCATATTGTCTGATCAAACACAAGTCAAAGTACATTTGAAAATCGCTGCTTTGCGTTTTCTGTACTGTCCTAACTTGTGTGTGTGTGTGTGTGTGTGTGTGTGTGTGTGTGTGTGTTCCTCCAGGCACTACAGGAAGCGCTCCAGCTCCAGGGGCAGGTCGGGCAGCCGGTCTAAGAGCCGCTCTCCAGACTCGAAGCGCTCTAAGAAAGACGACCGCACCGCTTCCAGAACACACAGCAGACGAGAGAGATCCCGCAGCAGAGAGAGACGCAGATCCAGAGAACGCAAGAGACAGAGGTCTCACACACACACACACACACACACACACACACACACACCTGCTGCACAAACAGAGACCAACATCTGCTACACACACACACACACACACACACACACACACACACACAGATGCACAAAAGTTGCTCTCACACACATACACACCATTGCGAGTGCTGATATATGTGTGTGTGTGTTTGCAGGCGGTCCAGTCGAGACCGGAGACGCTCACGCAGTCGAGAACGCAGGAGGAGTAAGAGCAGGAGCAGAGGCAGGAGGTCAGTAGATCATTCTGTTTTGTGTGTGTGTGTGTGTGTGTGTGTGTGTGTGTGTGTGTGTGTGTGTGTGTGTGTGTGTGTGTGTGTGTGCAGAACTGACATCACCGCTTTATTCACAGCAAGGAGAAGCCGGAGAATGGAGATCAGACGGCTGACAAGAAGAAGATCAAGGAGGAGAAGGAGGAGGAGAAGCCTGAAGATGTAAGTGCCCTGTGAATGAGTGAATGAGCTGCTGTATGACTTGTCAGCATCAATGGAGTGATTAAATCAATGGGTGAATGAATGAATAAATGAGGGAGTGAATGCAAAGGTCTATGTCTCATCTCCATCAGCGTAGTGGATACGTGAATGAGGGAATGAGTGAGTGAGTGAGTGAATGACAGAGCTGGTGTGCATCTCTTCTCCATTACTGTGGTGAATGAAAGAACGATATGGTCTCTGACCAGAACACCCTGCAGGAGATGAGGAAGAGGAAAAAGTCTTTGTGATTGAACAAGAGAATGAATGAATGAATGAATGAATGAATGAATGAATGAATGAATAAGAGAATGAGTGTTCGGTCTGGTCTCTGCAGCAGGACTTTAACCAGAACACCCTGGAGAAGAAGATGAGGTAGAGGAAGGAATGAATGAGTGAGTGAGAAAATGAATAAGTGAATGAGTGTACAGTCTGGTCTCTGCAGCAGGGCTTTGACTAGATCACCCTGAAGGAGGAGATCAAGTAGAGGATGGAAGAAGTGAATGAGTGAATGAGTGAGTGAGTGAATGATTGAATGAGTGAACGGTCTGGTCTCTGCAGTAGGATTTGACCAGAAAATTCTGGAGGAGATGATGAATGAGTGAATGAATGAATAAGTGAATGAGTGAACAGTCTGGTCTCTGCAGCAGGACTTTGAACAGAACATGCTGGAGGAGTGAGTGAGTGAATAATTGAATGAATGAATGTGTGAACGAGCTGATCTTTGCTGTGAGACTTTGACCAGAACACGCTGGAGGAGGAGATGAGGAACGAGTGAATGAATTGGTGAATGAGTGAACGGTCTGGTCTCTGCAGCAGGACTTTGATCAGAACACGCTGGAGGAGGAGATGAGGAAGAGGAAGGAGCGTGTGGAGAAGTGGAGAGAGGAGCAGAGGAAGAAGGCCATGGAGAACATCGGGGAGATCAAGAAGGAGCTGGAGGAGATGAAGCAGGGCAAGAAGTGGAGTCTGGAGGACGATGACGGTCAGTTTACTCACTCACTCACTCATTCCCCTCACTTACTCACTCATTCACTTGCTTTCTAACTCACTCACTCATTTACTCACTCACTAACCTATTTACTTGCTCGCTTAGTCATTCATTCATTCATTCACTCACTCACTCACTCACTCACTAACTTATTTACTTGCTTGCTAACCCACTCATTCATTCATTCACTCTAACTCATTCATCCGCTTATGCACTCACTCACTCACTCACTCTAACTCACACATTCACTCACTAATTCACTCACTCGTTCACTCACTTTTTCTCATTCACTCATTCACTCACTCATTCACTCACTCGCTCACTCACTCGCTGTGGTCTGTGTGTGTTCAGATGATGATGAGGAGGCCCCAGCGCCTGTGGAGCCGGATGG